CTAATAAAGAGAACAGTCAATGCTATTGTTGTAACACTGCAAGTGACACATTCTAATAAAGAGAACAGTCAATGCTATTGTTGTAACACTGCAAGTGACACATTCTAATAAAGAGAACAGTCAATGCTATTGTTGTAACACAGCAAGTGACACATTCTAATAAAGAGAACAGTCAACACTATTGTTGTAACACTGCAAGTGATACATTCTAATAAAGAGAACAGTCAACGCTCTTGTTGTAACACTGCAAGTGACACATTCTGAGAAAGAGAACAGTCAACGCTATTGTTGTAACACTGCAAGTGACACATCTTGACAATTTCTATATCATTCAACCAGGGTATCTGAAAAGATGGTCAGAGATACAAGTTAAATGTGTTATCCATATTTCAGGAGTTTGATATAAGTTCTGTAGTGGAGTGTTTAGGCTATCCCTAATGTACTATAAATGTTTTATAACATTATGAACTGATGTATTATTTTTTTTCATCCTTAGGGTCCCAACTTTGAGTTTTCCACAGAATCCCACGAAGAACTGCTGTATAACAAGGAGAAATTACTCAACAATGGGGATAAATGGGAAGCTGAAATAGCATCCAACCTTCAGGCAGATCATCTGTATCGATAACTGAACCAGCAATAGTTTATCACTTTAGATTAGAGAGGTCCATCACTGGCTTAAAGTTACAGATAAATAGTTTGGTTTGTCAAACATGGGACATTACTCAAAAAAATAAAATGTAAGATAAATGAATGTTAACAATAACATAGACAGTTAAAGAATTGAGATTCTCTCATGAAACACGTTAATTAGTTCTGAATTTGTATTAAATAATCGAACTGAAGTCGAAATAATAGCAGACCACATACGAAATTCATTAGAATTTTCTGATGTTAAAAAATTAAACTTTCAGTTTTTAAGAAAAGGGTTTCAATGTGTAATCTGGTATTATAAGAATTGTAATAAGCGTGAGAGTTCGTATTTGAAGGACTGTTTGCTATTTGATAGTTTAGATGTAATCTTACAGTTCAATGTACATAACTAGACATGGTGAATAAAAACGCAACAGAGATAATCATGAACAAGTTTACTTGTTTGTATTTATGAAAAATAAATGGTAGCACAGGGCAGTTTGTGGATAATATTTTTCTATAGTATGTTTATATATTTGTACATTACCAAGCACAAACAACAGTGGCTCACTGTTAATATGGCT